TTAAAAATAAATGTTTAGAAAGGCTATGAACCAAATAACAATAAAGTAAATATATAAATATAAGAAACAAATATAATAAGTATAAAAAGGGGTAAAAACCAATTTTATCAAATCAAGGAGTAATTTACAAAATATTTTGTGAGGATTACGAAGTCAGTTAGCAAACGAAGAGAAAGTTAAAAACTAGATTGCAGGAACATAAACTTGACATAAATAAAAATACGAGCTCTCCAATTGTCAGCACCGTATTGAATGCAACCACAATTTTGATTGGAGTATTGTAAAAATCCTTGATAAGGAATCTTTCTGTAAAAAAAGGTTGATATTTGAGATGGTTCATATTAAAAAACAAAATCAGGATTTAAACAAACAAATAGAATGAATCTGAAAGGTTGTAGAAAGATAAGATTCGTTACACGAATCCTATCTTTCTACAACCTTTCTCCCTCTCTTAGCTATTCTTCCTTTTTCTTCTTGTTTTCCTTTTCCTAATTCCATCTCCCTACTTTCTTAACGGTTCCTTCACTCTGTGTATCGCAATCAGATGACTGAGACATTTCTTCGCAATACAGTTTCCTGTTTTTATACTCTTTTGCCAACGTGGAATTATCCTTAGCAGAAGAATTTTATATTAACTTTTTTGGAAGTTTTTTTATCATTAGACACCGCAACATTGTAAATTTAAGGTAACTTTGATTACAAGTTTTAATTTATACATATAGTAATCTACAGACGGATTTTCTTTACTTTACATTCTTATCTTTATACTTAATATCTGGAGTTTTTCTTTGCTTTAAATACTGTATTGATATAATTTTTGTTTCCATTATTTTTATAGATTTTAACGAGAATTGTTGTATTTACGATGCTTGTGAATAATTTTACGCATTTTGACATCAATATGGAATTTTATTATTTTGACAGCTAACATTTATGCTATATTGTTGCGAATGTAATATCATATTCATGATGACAGGATGCGTTTTTACTGATGGCCATTTATATTATTTTATATTATTTTATTATTTGACCCATTTATTTAAGTATATTAATTTAGTTTATCTATTTTAATTATGTTTATATATAACACTGAAGATGACCCGATCCAGCTCGAAACGTCTATTTATTATTTGTGTTAAATCATGATAATTATATTTGTTTCTTATATTTATATATTTACTTTGTTGTTTGGTTCATAGCCTTTCTAAATATTTATTTTTAATTGTATTATTGAATCATTGTTATATGATGCATTTTATATAATTATATATAAAATATTTTTTCTCATTTTTTCTACAAATAAAATAATAGTTATTGTAAAACACTTCTATATTTGATAATTAATTAAGAAAAAAAGTGGACCCCAAATGAAATATTTTTGTATTAAAAATTTTATTAAAATTAAAGAAACTTACGTCTATGATTTGGCAAAATGGTTACGAAAATTCATTTTTAAATTAATATTTAAATGACAAAAGAGAATTCAAATTGATCTTTATATTAATAATATCTTATGTTTGTCAGAAATTTTAAAAACAGTATATTGTGTAACCTTGCTACGTTAAACATTGGGCCTATTTCGATTGTTCGGCCATTGGTACACTCACGCACTCTGTTACTTATTTAAATATTTCAATTAATAATTATCATAAGGCTTTAAATAATTTTTAAAGTTTTCAAACGAATGCAAATATTTATATTATAAATCTTCTAATATTATAAATTGTATTATTTGTGACAAGCTTAAACCAGCCACTGGGACATTTATCTTATTTGTTTTTCGGAATGTCTTTAATTAATCTTTATTTTTTTAAAGATAGGAATTGCTTTCTTAGACTTTCTATTTTCGTAAAAAAAATTCCATCCGTATCGATGTCAAAGAAGCAACGTTTATTCATTCAATATCAGTAAAATATGGAGATACGATATCTAATGGATGTAATGTTTGTATGGGTTGCATCATGTTATAGAAACAATCTGATCACCGTATATATAAAGCGCATAAATAAGCGTAAGATCGGCTGTCAAGTCAGTGCTTAGCAAACCTCCCGCTGAGACAGACGACTATAATACGTGTAATTTTTCTATCAAGTATTCAAGGACAAAGCAGTTATGAGGCTGAACTCTATCGTACCAAATTTTAAAGTCGATACCACACAAGGTCCCATCGACTTTTATGATTGGCAAGGCAATTCGTGAGTGGCACACACATATTATACATATATTACATATAGTAATATTTTGTTTATATGATATACGCATGTATAAATACGATTAAATAATAGTTGTATTAACTAGCAAAAAGTGATACATTACATTACATTATTCACTTAAATATCTCACGTATTTTCTTTTGAATATTTTAATTTCAAAAATGTTTTGAAAATGTATTAATAACACAATGGAAATAGAATGAAAGTTCTTCGCGAAATTTTATTTCGTCGTTACTAATCAAGAACTTGACTTTGTTATGCAATCAAATTCAATGTAAAAGTCTGCATCGTACTAAATATGACAAAATATAAGAAAATATGAGGTAACGCCAATGCAAATCACCAATTACAAAATTAATTTTAGTTTTATGAGATATCATCGACATCTTATCGGGTTTATTTTTTTCGAGATAATTGTCCGGCAAACATATCTGGAAATTGCGAAATATATTATCATAGAACTGGCACGAATAATAAACATCTGAATTTGCATTTATCCATTACGTAGTTCGCAGTAAAGTGCACGATCCAAGAATAGACCTCTCTAGCGTAGTAAAAGTCAACAACAGGTTGTTGAAGATAACTATCTGTTATAGTCAACTTTTATATCATTGCAATTTCCGAACGGTTATTACATAATTTACACGGAAAGAACGATTTGGTTGACATGTTGTATGTGAATTACTTGCCTGATAAAAAAGTTCTCATATTTTTAAGAATTTTTCACATTTTAAATTTATTTTGAACACTTCTATAAAAGTATCTTAAATTTCTTCAGATTTTATAAATTTTCTTCGAAAATTGTAGAATGAAAAACGAGAGAGAGAGAAAGGGAGAGAGAGAGAGAGAGAGAGAGAGAGAGAGAGAGAGAAAGAATATTTCAGAATTTATATATACATATAAAGAATTCTAGGAAAAAAATGTAGATTTTCAGCATTACTAAAAAAATGTTTCAATTAAAAAAAGTATTCAAAAAATTGTAATCAATTTTGAAAAATTATGTGAAGAATTCTTAAAAAAAATTACATTAGAATTATATAAGAAATTTACTATTAATTTTATACAAACAGTAATTTTGTTATCAAGTTTGTTAATTTTATCTCTTTATACATATATATCAATACGATTGTTAGATTAATTTATATTAAATTATTTATTTTTATATGAAATTATTTGCGTAATTGTGTAAGTGAATAAATATTTTTTGAGAATAATAACAAAGATAAGAGTAATTATAAAAAATTACATGCGTAATGAATTGCAAACGCTCGACTTAGATTTGCATTGAAGAATCAAAGGACGTGAGCCGAAATAAATGTATATTGCAACAATAGAGTCTATCCTTGGTATAATGCCAAAACAAGTACTCAACTATATTAAGTGCTTGTAATTGAAAGTGTCGCTCTCGAATCAGCGTAATTGTGTGACTCGTTATATCATTATGTTTTTGATAAACAGTAACAGAAGCGATTACGGTACTTGTCAATAAAAATTCATATACGGATGATATATTTAATTATTGATAAAAATTCTGAAATTATCTATAAAAGTTGATTGGAATTAATTCCAATCAACTTTTAATTTTATATCAATATTGGAATTTTTTTTTTATAAATATTCTGATAATAGAACATTTATAAAATTATACACAACGAAATGATAAAGCTTGAATAAAATTTGTAATCTGTAATTACGTGGATATATTTATAAAAACAGATTTAGAAACTCTAAAATATTAAATATCGTTTCTAAAATATTGATAATTACTTGTGCAATTAATTTTAATATAATATTTCGGCAAAACAATAACGATATGGCGAATCTTAGCGGCATATTTGCCAAATTAAATTTAAAAAGAAATTATTCAATAATTTAGAAAATTATTTTAGCTGTACTTTAAAAATATAATTGTGCTTATATAAAAGTGCACATATTCCTAAATTATAATATTATAACATTAAGTATTATACATTCAGCACATGACTAAATCTAAAATACAATATTAGAATGGCTTTTGAGATGCATATAAATCGAATTTTCGGAAATATTTGTCGGGAACATTTGAAAATATAATCGGATAACGTGTTTTAATTTGTTTCTTTAATCTGTTTGTGACCGGCGTCTTATTCATTTTTAAAAGAAAGTAAATTATAAAATATTTACACTTTAAATTGAATTTGTCTAATTCTTTATAAACATTTAAACAATTTTAACAAAATTATTACGTTATGGCAAATCATTTTAGCGTAATTATTATGAAATTTTTCATCAATTTGTGATGCCATTATTGTATAGTGTGTTTTCATAATTTGTCTACCGGGATATAATACGTTTGTATTGTAAATATATTTTTTTTTTATACATTTTTTAAATTTTATTATTTTTTAAATAAAATTTAATTTACATTTTATAATACCGATATCAATAATCATATAATAACAAAATATTTTATAA